CGGCCTGTGGGCTCGGGACCCTGGTGCTTTGTCCCGATGCGGCATTCCAGCCAGACGCTGCCTTTGTCAGAGGCCTGAGAACAGAGGCTGCTGCGGGAAGTGGTCCTGGGTGGAGCCTGCCCCGCTCCTGGGCAGGGACTCAGACCGCGTCCCAGTCACCCCGAGTCACTGTTTCCAGCAGGGCCTCCAGGAGAGCTGGCAGAGCCCTCCAGGCAGGGTCTGGTGACGGCCCTGCACCTTTGGGGCGCTGCTGCTGCATTCCCCCATTCGGCTCTGCCTGGGGCCCAGCACCACTGCGGGGTGCAAGGGTGGAAGGCACCGTGTGCCCAGGGCAGGTGGGGGCTCGGAGCAGGCTCAGGCACCCTGCCAGCTGCCCAGCTCTGTGCTCCCGGGGCCCTGGCCTCCATCTGGGTGCACAGGTGACAGAGGAGAGGATGTAGGGGTGGGGGGTGGGAAAGACTGTTGGGGAGGTGAAATGCAGGCTGGGGGCTGAGGCTGAGTAGAGGCGCCTTGAGAAAGGGGGCAAGGGATCCTGTGAGGGGACAGCAGGGCCCAGAGAGCTGGGCAGCAGGCTGACGCCGAGCCTCAGGGGCTCACATAGGGGGCAGGTCCCCGTGGCTGAGTCCTGTGCCCCAGCACCTGGCCCGTGCCGGTGCCTTCTTATTGTGCCCTACTCACCCCTCGTCTCCCTCCTGGTCCCCCTGGCAGGAGAGGGGTTCCCTTTGCCATGGCTGCTCCGCTCCCTCAGAGGGCCTGGCACTGGGTCCTGGGGGCTGCGAGGGTGGGGCTGCCCGGTCCCACCCCCCTTGCCCAGAGCCCTGTCTGAGCTCGCTGGGCGGGAGGTTGGAGAGCAGGTCTGGGGTGGCCTGGCCTGGCCTCGCTGGCTGGATGGGCGGCAGAAGCAACGACTGTCCTGCCTGCAGGCCGAGGAGGAGCTCGTCAAAGCGCAGAAGGTGTTCGAGGAGATGAACGTGGACCTGCAGGAGGAGCTGCCGTCCCTGTGGAACAGGTGAGGGGGAGGCGGTGCGGCCCCTCGCCTCCTTCCACGCTGCACAGCTGTGCCCGTGCCTGTCGGGGTGCGCCCTCGGGGCCGTGTCTCAGGTGAGGGTGGAGTGGGCAGCGTGTCTGTGCTCTCTCCTGGTTGCCCACCCTGACCTGCGTGTTGGTTTTGTCTCCTCCCTCCCCCTGCAGCCGTGTCGGTTTCTACGTCAACACGTTTCAGAGCATCGCAGGCCTGGAGGAGAACTTCCACAGGGAGATGAGTAAGGTGGGTGGGGCGTGCCGCCCAGGGCCGGCAGAGGGCAGGGTGGGAGCCCC